TCGGTTCAATAAAAACAAAACACATATGTACAGATGTATATAGTATACACACACATATAAATACACATACATGAAAAGAGAAATGTGCATGTGTATGCGTGTGCGCGCACACACACATACATACACACAATATCATGCCCTTTACCTACGTTTAAGAATTATTTGACTATGACAATTCACCACTCATATTAACAATACTGTTGCACACATTCAAAGCACCTACAATGGATTAAATGTTGGGAGAAAACTTGAAGGCCCTAAACTAAATATATTCTCTATATTTACTTTAAAAACACCCCTAGAGTACTACAGTGGTGGCACACACCTTTAGTCCCAGCACTCAGAGGCAGAGGTAGGCAGATCTCTGGTCTATAGAGCAAGTTCCAGGACAGCCAGGACTACACAGAGAAACGCTGTCTTGAGAAAACCAAAGCCACCTTTAGAAATATGTGATAGGAAAATCTGAGATTACAGATATATCATTTCAAACCTTAAATCTTTTTTTCTGTATTAGAAAGAGTCATGATTAAGAGCATTAAAACAAGCAAAATCCCAATGAATACACTACTTATCTGGAGGTCACACCTTAAACATAGCTTGTAACTGAATAACACCCTCCAGGTCAGTCATATGTAGCCAGGTTGGCTTACTTATTTATTTTTAAATAAAGATCTTAAGCATTAGACTCCAGAGCTGGACTTCAGCCCATTGCTGCCATCTAGAAGCTGTGACCTTATCATCTTAGTGCAAAAGACAAAAGCTACTGTAAGCCAGGTAGCTTCTGGGTGCTAAGGATACAAACAGAAGTAAACATGGTTCATGTCTGCAAACTGAAATCAGACAAAGTTCTTACCTACATTCCTCTGATTGTTTTAGGGCTCAAGAGAAGGAAAGGAAGAGCTATTAATGTCTACTGAGTCTGGGGAGAGAGAGGAAGACAGGGAGAAAAAGAAAAAGAAAGAGAGACAGAGACAGAGAAGAGGAGAAGGAGGAAAGATTACCCTAGTGGGCAATAATCTTAGTGGCTATTTCTCTTACAGAGGAAGAACTGAGGCACATTACAAAGTGTCATTTGAACTCATCGTTTTTCTACATAATGCTACCTAATAAATGATTAATGACAACTAATTTCAACTTAGGCACCTAATTTTGTAGTTGTCACCAGGCTGTCCAAAACCTCACAGAGTCACTTGCCCCTGCCTGACAGCTGGAATTCCACCACATCTGGCGATCCTGGGCAACTTTAAAGGATCCTTATTGGGAGGGATTTAACCTTGGGGGGACTGTGAGATGGCACAGTCAGAAAACCGCCTGCCACACAAGTGTGACAGTCTGAATTTGGATCCCCAGTACCCAAACAAAAGCTGGGTGTGGGACTGAAGAGACAATTGGTTAAAAGCACATACTCGTTCTCTCAGAGTGTGTACCCCAGCATCCACCAAGCAGCCCACAATGCCTGACCCCAGTTCTGAAAGACCTGACACTTTCCTCCCTTTCCAGGTATGTATACCCACACCCCCCAACATGCTAACACATAAACACACTACATGTGCTAACACACACACACATACACATATACCCACATGCTATGACACACACATACACACACACAAATAATTTTTTATGTCGATATGTTTTGTACACATCTTTAACCCTAGGGGGTAGGACAGTGTAGTGCCAGGAGATTTCACAGGGCCAGGCCAGCTGGTCTAGTCAATTAATTTGTGGTAAAGTGTTCAATGAGGCCATGTCTCAAAAAATAAGGTGGTGGTGGGGGGGTCAGCAAGATGAATCAGTAGGAAAGACACGTGCCGCCTCCCACCCCTCCCCCAAGCCTGACAGGCTAAATTCAATCCCTGGAACTCATAAAACCCACAGACTCCTGCAAGTTGTCCTCTGACCTCCACAAGCACACTGTGGTACACACATACCCTCCTCTCCACACACATTAAATAAATATGTGTAACTTCTGAAAACAGAATTTTAAGGGGGAGATAATTTTTAAAGATACCAGAAGCCAACCTCTGCCTTCCACACTCATTCATACTCATATGCACATGTAGACACTAACACTGAACACATCAGAGAGAGACAGACACACAAACACACACACCTTTGAAGTCATCGAGAGAGCAGGTGGTTATCCAATCCTGGGTTTAAAGATCTCACCAATTTCTTCCAGGTAGGGTTTCCTGATAGTTGCACTATCTTCTACTCAACTGCCTTCCCTTCCTCTATGCCTTTATTATAATACTTACACAATCACACTTTACTAATAATTAAGGTTTAGGGAATATTTAATAAATATTAGTTACTATTTTAAGCACCTTTTATGTATTAAATCATTTCATCTTCAATAATAATCCTATGATGTAGGTACTATTATTTAGAATTTGAAGACGAGACAAAAATTTTAATAAATTATGTGAGCTTGGGGTTGGGGGTAAAGTCCATGATAGCATATTGCAAGGGAATGAGTCAATCCACAGAAACGTACACACAGTAAACTGTTCAAGTGACAGAATTGGAATTAACTTAAACCCAAGCAATCCAGCGTGAGACCTAAACTTGTAACCTGTGCTATGTTTCCTGTCCAAGGGAAATCTCAGTTCTAAGGCTGTACATTCCCTGAGAACCACAATGAAGACTGTTGTTCTGTTCTTGCTGTTGGTGGAGACAGGAAAGAAAGTGTCACACCCTCAATATTCTTGGCATTTGCAAATATTTGCTGGAATAAACTGGTCTTGAATATTAGCTAAAGAATCTAGGTTGTTCTTCCTATAGGCTAGGGGTTAGCAAAATTATTCTGCAAGAGGTCAGAGAGTAAATATTTTAGACTGTGAAGACTATAGAGTTTCTGTCATAACTGTTTTCCTCGTTCCTCTCTGTCTCTCTCTGTCTCTGCTAGTGTTGGTATTGAGTGCTGAGGACAAACATGCACTCTACCATAAAGACATGGAGCTACATTCCTCTAGTACCCCCATACAATTACTGACTGAAGCCCTTGCGCAAAAGCAACCATAGACAGTTGGTAACAAAGAAGGATGGCTATGTTCCAGTAAAATTTGATTTATGAACAGTGGGTTGGTCCTTGCCACAGGTGATAAGATTTCTATCAGGTTTCTAAACAAATGTTAAAAGTTGAAACTGTGTTTTAACATGATTAACACAGATTACGGTATAACGTGTAGAAGAGTCTTGAGTGTCAAGCTTGAGATCACAAGTAATGTCCCACACTGCCCAACAGAAACAAAACAAAAGCCACAAGTATGAGTCATAAATGTCATTTTAAATTGTCTAAAGTCACATTAGAAAACCCCACCTTTGAAAGTAAAATTAACTTGAATACATATCACCCAATATACCCTAAAAATAGCTGTAAGAGATAATCAACATAAAACTGAGACTGTTTACATTCCTGTTACTATCATGTCTTCAAAATCTAATATGAATTTTTATACGTAGAGACATCAGTTTGGATTAGCCCACATTCAATAACTATATTGGACACTATACTGGTCAGTACAAACTCGTCAAGTAGAGGCTGGGGACTAGGATCAGTGTACAGCATGCTAAGTGAGGGTGTAAGCTCTATGGCCAAAGTCAACAACAATTAGACAAAGAAAATAATCTACAGATCCCCATACAAGGCTGCCCTTCCTCACTGCTTTGCCAGTTGATTGTGGACCTAATTCTAAACTGCGTGCCATGGTTTAACAGTGGCAGCAACTTCATTACTTTCTGCAGCATTCTCCACCGTTCAGTTTCTACCTTCATCTCCAAACCTGACCTTCGTTGCAATCTTATGGATGGGTAGGTGTGTCAAATCAGTTTTACAAATGAGTATACACGATTCACAGAAACTAAATGACAGCTTAAAAACAACAACAACAAAAAAAATACTTAGTGGTAAAACGGAAAATCAGATCTAACTTCTAATCAAATCTATTTGAGCCTTGATAGCCTCACCTGTGAATAAAGTTGCAAGCCTGCCTTTATCTGTGAGACAGGCTTAATGTCCTCTACTGTACTGCCCTACTGTTAACTCCATGAAGACCACGGGATCCCCAGGGGTCCGCACAAGGTGCTGCATGGCTTCACAGTATTTACTGAATGAAAAGAGTTCCCGACTTTCCAGTGTTTGGGGTTGGTTAAACGTATCTTTGTTTTGTGACTGGTGTGCAGGTGGACCGAAGTATATCAATGAAATTATTGTTTGTTTTCAGTTGAAGTTCTAAAGCGTCACTCCCAATACCCTTCAAAGGAGAGCGTGAGTGAGGGGCTGGTGCGGACCCCTCCCTGGAGCCATGGAAAAGCTTCAGAAATGAGCTGGAGAGGAGCAGAGCTCCCATCCAGAGAGGGCAGTCTGGACTCGGTCCCGCTCAGAGCTAGGACACCGGAGCGGAGTCCGTTCCCCATTCCCCCGCTCCCTTTCCCAGCGCCCTCTCCGCAACGGCCGACCGGGCGACACACAGAGGTAACCATTCGGTCCCCGCAGGGTCCCTTCCGGCGCCCCGGCGGTCAGTCCGACACGGCCGCCGGCCGATCCCCGCGGAGCCCGGCCGCCATCTTCCGCATTGGCTCGCCCCCAACCGCCGCCCGCCGGCCCCGGGAGACGCGGACCTCACCTCTCCTCACAGTCTTTGCATTTCACTTGCAAGGGGACAAGCTGCTGGAACAGAACTTGGCTCATGTCGGACCGCTGCCCCGACCGCCGTGCGGAAAAAGCCCAACGGGTCTGGGCCTTAGAAGCAGCTTGGAAGAAGTCCGGGCCCTGACAGCGTTTGAGTTTGGCGCTCAGCTCCCGCGGAGGAGGGGAAACGATAAACAGAAGGAACGAAGGAGGTTTGGGCCTCGGCAGCCACCATCAACCCCTTCCGGTTCAGGAGAGAGGACGCGCTACGGCGATGGCGTATTTCCGGTCATAAACCTGCGTCGTGGGTCCCACACCCACATCCCCTCAGCTGGCCGCATCTGTTAGGAGAAGGGGACGCCAGCCGAAAGGGTCGCGCGTCATGGAGGATCGTGCGCCGGCCTCGCACGCCCCCGGTTTTTTGGCCGAGGGCAGGTGCAGCTACTTCGTGGAGAAGAAGAAGCGCTTCTGCAGGATGGTGGCGGCCGCGGGGAAGAGGTTCTGCGGGGAGCACGCCGGAGCCGCGGAGGTCCGGCAGCGCCCTTCCCTCCCGAGGGTCTCCGGGTCTGTGGGTGCTGGGACCCGGGCGCGCCCCTTTGACGGGTTCCGATCCTGCCCCATGGAGTCGCCAGCTTTCACTTAGTAAATGCATTCTCGTGCTAAGTAACACGCCCTCTTGTGAGAAGGGCGCTCGGAGACGCGGGTACCTTCCACTCTCGTCCTCATGAGAAGTGATTATTTTCACGAAGTAGTGTTTGACGTCACTGGGCCTCACTAACTGGGCTCCAGCTTTATGAAGGATAAACCACTTGTGAACGTGTCGGGGCGAAACTGAGATTTTTTTTCGTTCGGACTTCACCAGGAAGCACTTTAAGAACTTGTAATTATTATTCTGGGACGGAGAAGGGGAAAAATAATAATAATACACGTAGCAATTAACTACAAAGTCCAAAGCAAAGTGCACTGTTGGTTTCTTGGGGTTTGTGTATTGGGGGGGGGGGGGTGGAATCCCCCAGCAGACACTTGGACATGTGTTAAGACATTTTGATTGTAAGTGCAAATTATTAGTGGCTTCTAGTGGATAGAGGACAGACACACTGCTAACCTACAAATCACAGGACAGTATCATCACCTCAATAACAGTGGTACATGCGCATGATATCCACTGTTTCTAAACTCATATGTCTTTAAAATGCTTTTGTGTATGTGCTTTGCGAGTTAGAATAGAGGCCTGCTTGTTTTGTAAGATAATTTTCCTGTTTGTTTTTGAGGCAGGGATCTTGCTATATTTCCCTTGTTAGTCTTGAACTCCTCATCTCAGAGATTCTCCTGCCTCGGCCTCACAAGTAGCTGGTCTCCACCAAAGAACCAAACTTAATTTCAAGTTTTAAGTTTTAATTTTAAGTTTTAAAACCTGTTCACAGAAAAGAAACAATATGTGTTATTTTTAAAATACTGAATAATTTTCAACTTTCCCTAAAATTCAGTGTGCATAAATTCATGAACATATTGAAAATGATTGAAATAAACAATTGAGAGAAAAAAATTAGAGTAAATACTTGGTCAGCTTTTGTTGTGTGGGTACCACTATGCTAAGCAGTGTTGTGAAGTTTCTGTTTCTCCTGGTCCTAAATAAACACACAGAGTCTTATACTAAGTGTTGTTATGTTGCTTTTAAACATTCAATTTTCATAAGCCTTAGGAAGTAAATCATACTATTACTCTCATCTTTCACATGAGGCAGTGAGCCCCTATAGGATCATAGAGTTAGCAGCAAATAGAACCACACCTAAGCAGTCCTGCTGATCTCTGGCTTTACTAATTGTACCACCGTGTTCATACATGTTGATAGGGTCTGTAGAGTAGGACTGCCAATGCCCACTATCTTCCTTCCTTTTCTCACAATGACTAGAGTTAAATGTATATAACTCAGAATATTCTAACTAGCATATTGAAAAGTTGCAAAGCCGGTGAATATGACCTGTTAAAGTGCCAAGCCTCCTTTTTCCCATATTTTCTTTCTTTTCCTTTCTTTTTTTTCCAAGACAGTGTTTCTCTGTGTCCTTGCTGCCCTGTAACTCCTGTAATTCACTTTGCATACCAGGCTGGCCTGGAACTCAAAGATAATCCACTTGCCTCTGCCTCCTGAGTGCTGTGATTAAAGGTGTACACCACCACCACCACCACCACCACCACCCAACCACCTGTATTTTATTTCTATATTTATTGAGACAGGGTCTCAGTATGTAACACTGGCTGACCTTTGACTCAAGATCTGCCTGCCTCTCCTCTAGCGTGCTGAGATTCAAAATATATTCTTCCATGCCTAGCTTTTCCCCATATCTTAACAACCTAGAGATAAATATGCATTTTAAAAGCAACAACTTAATTTAAATGGGCAACATTTTCCAAAATTAAGTATTCAAATAATATGTATTAAGTAATAAGTACTCAAGTAATATGATCATTTTGTACATGATGAATATTATACAGTATTTTATTAATTTGAAGTAAATGGTTAACATCTTTTCTTAGTGGTACACATAATAACTGCACCCATTTTTAGCAGGTGTTAACTCTGATGCAAAATTATATAAGCAGGCCAAAAACAGTATTTGTTCGTTTCTACAGGAGCTAGTGACAGATTTTTTTATTATTATAAACATGACCTGATCTTGCTTCTTTTTCATTATGTCCTTTTGAAGTTTCCACACCTTGTTTTGGGACTAGAGATACACTGTGAGTATATCTAATACCTGAAATAATAAACTTGATATATTAATAAATGTATCCCTTTTAATTTATTAGGAAGAAAACTCTCGGAAAAGAATCTTGTGTCCCTTAGATCCAAAACAGTAAGTATGGGGTCAGACAAGTGTTTTTTGTTGTCATTTGGTATGTGTGTGGGGGGGTACTACAAGCAGTAACTTTACAAGGCACATTTAAGATTTTCTTTCTCTTAAATTTTCTCTTTAAATTTAGCACTGTATATGAAGACCAACTAGCAAAACATTTAAAAAAATGTAATTCAAGAGAGAAGCCAAAGCCTGTAAGTATTTGAAACATGTGGTATGTTTGACACACACTTTAGTATTATAAGGTGTAGGTTGAGTTTAGCAAATATATATTTAAGTTCTTATTTGATAGCTGTACTTTCTTGTCTCCTCCCTCTCCTGCCCCCTCTTTTCTTCTTTCTTGTTCTTGTGTTTTGTCTTAGTTTGTGGTTTTGTTTGATTAGATTAGAGACAGGCTCTTACTGTGTAGCCCAGGCTGACCTCAAACTTGAGGCCCTCCTCCCTTAGCTTCTCAAGTACTGAGATTACAGAATTTTGTCACATTTTATTTTTGGTTGTTTATTTGCTTTTAAGGTAGGGAACTGTGCTGTATTTCCCAGGCTGGTCTTTAGTTCATCTTATACTTTTCTTATGCCTTCCCTTCCAAGTGCTAAGGTGTTAAGTGTATAACACCACACCCAGCTTGGTAGCTGGGTAGAGGGGTGATGGTGCAGCAAGAGATTTGGAATCAGAGGCAAAGTTTAGCACTAAGGTTGTAAAGACTAACTGCCAGTCGTCTTTGAGATTCACACTCAGTATAGAAGTAGTGGATTTGAGCTAGCACCAGTCCATATCAGTCCTTCATAGTGTTCCCTCAAGCAAGGGCTAAAAGTCCAGATTTCTCTTTGATAACAAAATAGAATAGGGTGAGGGTAGGTAAGTGTACAGAATGGTAAGTGTGTTCATTTGCTTCACGATATGAAGCATTTTACAATGTGTACCCCAAGATCTCATGTTGGGTTTCTTCTTGTTGTTGTTTTGGTTTTTTGAGACAGGGTTTTCTGTGTAGCAGCCCTGGTTGTCCTAGAACTTGCTCTGTAGATCAGGCTGTCCTCTGCCTCTGCTGGGATTAAAGGCATGCACTATCACTGCCCAGTATCATGTTGTAACCTCAGATATAGAATATAAAATTCATTTTTTTCAAAGAAATTTAAAATAAGAATAGAAAAGCTTTAATGATACTCACAAAGGGAAATGTTGAACACATATAGTAATAATTTGGCCATCAGCTATCAACCTGGTCAATAAAATTTATGTGTGTGGATCTGTATCTAAAAATATCTACAGGTAAAGAAGTTGTCAGATGAAGTGTGTTCATTTTATTAGGAGTAAATAATGGAGAGCATATACCATATTTGTCACAAGCTAGCTTGTCACAGATTTATGGATGCCAGCAGAAATTAGGAGACTCCAGGATCAGAGACAGAGACAAAGGCTGAAATGCCTGTAGTCAGGGCCTCTACCACTAGGCTACAGCCACAGTCTGGGAATTTTTATTACTTACCTCATAGAAGTAGCAGGGGCTTCTTACTCATGTCAATTATTGTTCTCTCTCAAAGCCTATGGACTCAACTCTGGGGCTCTGCTGGGAGTATTCCGTGCATGTGCAGTGACTTATATTGAAACTGAGGAACCCCATCTCCAGGAAGCACTATTTCCCCCTAAATTAGGGCAGTGAGCAAACCTGCCTCAACTGTGTTCATAGGTAGACATTTTTCTTTATTATACTGTACAATAAGTAAGTCTGCCATGGAATCTAGAAAGAAATGCTATATCTGTCTTCTAAGGGTGCTTGGTATACCACTGTTCTTGAAAGACTAGTCTGAAGCTCAGTAAGACTTGGAGGAAATCAAAGGGTTCAACAGAAGTGACTCCCAGGGGCATGTTGTTGTTGTTTTTTTTTGTTGTTTTGTTTTGTTTTTGGTGGGAGGGGGGGAAACAAAAACAGGGTCTCACTACATAGACCTGGAGCTTACTATATAGACTAGGCTGGCCTCACACTCACAGAGATCCACCTGCCTCAGCCTCTTGTCTTCCTGAGTGCTGGGATCAAAGGCGTGCACCACTGCACCCAGTCCTTTGTTCAGGCATTTTGCAACAGATGTCCTCTGCATTGTCAACTGTCTCCCAATTGAGAACCACCATGCATTTTAGCTGTCTGTGACAGCTCACACCTGTAATCTTGGTACCTGGGAGGCTTAAGCTAGAGGATTACCTTGAATTCAAAGCCAGGTTGGGCAACATAATAAATTTTAGGCCAGCTTTGGCTACCAATTGAGCTTCAGTGTGCAGTCCTCTATCAAAGGAAAACATGGTGTTTCAACATTAAGATAATGTACAAGAAAAACAGTGACCTCCCGTCCACTCCTTTAGGACTTAGCTCCTGTAGTAAAGAGAGAAGTTAGAATTTCTAGAGTCCTTGAGGCCTAGCCCTGGGGGACCAATGGACCAGACTCAGCCACCCACCACCTCAAGAGGTCAATCATGATGAAGTTAGAAAATAATTTTTTCAATATGGTCATAATGAAAAAGAGCAAGGACATTACCGTTTTGTCCTGTGTTTTGTACTAATAATGCTGATTACATAGGAGAAGAGCAACAGAAGCAACAAGAAACTGTCTCAGTCAGATGAGGCTGACTGACCATGCCCTAAGGTCTGGTTCTGTGGGGTCCTGCTGGCTCAGGGAACATCTTGTGCCTGAGGTAGGCAGTACTGTTGATGGTACTGTTGTGGCTCCAGCCAGGGCTCCCTTTTGAGACCATCTCCTTTGCTACTTTAGAATAACCTGCCTCCAAGACTCCCTGTACCTAGGATCCCTAATTTATCTTACTTTATCTTGGTCTCTTCATTCTTGGAGAGGAATAAAGAGATGGGGTAAAACAACCTTACATTATCAGTTTTTAGATAGAGAAACCTGAAATGACTAACATACCAGAGTTTAGTAAAGATCTTTCCAAAGTTTAAAGTAACACAGCCAGAGCAGTAGACGGCAGAGACATCAAGCCTTTATCCTGGTTCATTTTCCCATCAGACATCTGGTGGACCCAGGCGAAGAGCTAGTGCTTTTACCACAAGCAGCCTTTAAGTTCTGTGAGAAGGCTATCCTTCCAGTATCTTCCTCACATACAGATCAAGATTCAAATGCATGAGGTATATGTTCTGGGAAACCTTTGAGAGGATTCGGTCTACTAAAGCAGCACTAACTCCCAAGGTTCCAGTGTGTGTGAAGACATGGTGGCAAAGAGAGGAGAAACACAATGGGGTGATGTATCCCATCACTCAGGAGGCAGAAGCAGGAGGATCTCTGAGTTAACAATCAGCCGGGTCTCCATAGCAAATTCCAGCCTAGTCAGAGCTACATAGAGAGACCCTGTCTCAAAAAACAAATTAAAAATAAAGGTCCAGTCTACAATACAGCTTGCCCTGAGTACTTTTCAGAACCCTTTTAAGGTCAGAGTGCAACAAACAGCAAATACTTAGAGCTAATTTTCAATTATATTTTTATCAGCCCCTCAACAAAACATTGTAATACTTGCAGCTTCACCTCTCCACTCAGTTAACAATTTCCCTTGTTAAACATATCAGTAAATACTTTCTCCTATATCTGCACGTGGTGGAGCACTCCTTTAATCCCAGAGACAGAGGCAAAGGCAGGCAGATCACTGAGTTTGAGGATAGCCTATTTTATAGCTCAAGTTCCAGGACAGCCAGGACTACACAGAGAAACTATGCCTCAAAAAAAAAAAAAAAAAAAAAAAAAAAAAAAAAGATATCCTCATACAATCAAGATGTTAGCACCTCTGCCATCTGTTTTAACAAAAGTCCATGACTGATAGGAAATACAGTGTCCATAAAAGATACTTTAAAGCAAGATTTATAGACATCATATTATTTCATGCCTTTGTATACGTGTATATCATCCAGTTTGGTAGCCACTAACTACACATGACTACTGGAATTTGAGTTAATTAAAACTATATATAATTTAAATGCAATTCTCAGCCACAGTAGCCATATTTTACAGCCAGTGACTACCATGTCAGTCAGGGACAATCGCAGAAAGTTCTACTGGACAGTGTTGACTTGAGCTTCACCTAAAATTTTTGTACTTGCAGGTGGACTAATAAAGTCTCATTATGTTAGTTTAAACGTCATAGTATGTTTTTACTTTTGATACTTATTATCTTAAAATAAATCAGACTTACACCATTAGAATAGCTGTTTTGTCTGTTTGGGGTCAGGCTGCATCCTAAATAAGCAGTATATGTGTGTATGTGTGTGTGTTTGTATATAAATATAAAAATGTAAATATATGTAAACATAGAAAAGCTTTTTTTTATTTTAATGTCATAAGGCAGCATTAGCACAATCCTCAGAACCTCTAAACACGTAAAATTTTAAGACTGTAAATTCTTTTTTTTGTTGTTGTTGTTGTTGCTGTAGATTTGGAGCCTGTCCTGGAACTCGCTGTGTAGACCAGACTGGCCTCGAACTCACAGAGATCTGCCTACCTCTGCCTTCCAAGTGCTGAGACTAAAGTCAGGTGCCACCACCACCCGCCTGTAAATGCTTCTTCATACAACTCACTAGAAGATCCAGGAAGGTAGACAGAGATTTGTATCTTCTGTTGTCCACTATGGTAATCTGAGCAAGCCAATCACCATGGTATTGGTGCAGTAACATTTGGTTGAATGTGAGAAAAGGATGGTGGTGTGGTAGGATGAAGGGGAGAAGCAGTTCTTCAGCTTAGTTGTTGTGAATGCCATATTAATATGTTACAATATTGTTTTTGTCAAGGATTTCTTTATTCAAGATATAAATGCAGGATTAACAGATGAAATGGAAATTCCTGAGCAATTAGTAAGTATATTATTTAATACTTAACCTCCAAGCGGTATTTATAAGCTATCTCCTTGTACATTGACCATTCCATTCCTCACTTTTGTTTGGAAAGATCTGGTGTTTTGACATTAGGGTGTATTTTCTTATAGAACCACTGATGTTAGTGATTGTTAGTCCCCAGACCAGCTTATGTCCCATAGCAAACTGCAATATGGCTCTGTGGTGAGCTAACTGAGCCCAGACTTCTTAACCCTAAGGGAATGAGGGGAGTTAACCTTGGCAGAGACTAAGTGGCACCTTGACAATTGGGCGTTCCATTCTGATGGCAGCCTAGGAAGGAAGTCTTACCAGGAAGAAGACTAAAACTGCCAAGGGTCTGCTTCTACTCATTTTTGTTGTGATACTGTCAGACATGCTTTGGCTATATTATTTAGTTTTATTTTTGTATGTAGGTTCCATTTTCCTCTCTATCTGAAGAGCAGTTGGAAAACTTAATTAGGAAATTGAGAAAAGCAAGTGAAGGTAAGTCTGCCTAAAGTTGAAGTTCAATTATTTGAGAAGCACGAGGTGCTATTTGAATTGAAACCTTCTGTTTGTTCTTCAGAGTCCCATAGTTCATGTTTGGCTGCTTAAACTGTCATGTTTGTGTTTTTTGTTTGTTTGTTTTTTGTTTTTTTGTTTTGTGTTTTTGTTTTTTGGCTTTTTTGTTTGTTTGTTTGTTTTTGGCCCAGGCTTGAATTCTATGCTTGAAGATCACATTATGTCCCATCCAGCATTAAATGATGCCCTTAATGACCCTAAAAATGGTGATTGTGCAGTCAAGCACCTAAAACAGCAGGTATGTTTACAGCACAATAACTTAACCTTTGTTTGTATGTTTGATGCTAACATTCTGGGCTGATGAGATGGCTCACCATGCCTGATGACATGTGTTCAGTCCTCTGAACCTACCTGGTGACAGGAGAGGATCTACAGGCACACACATATGTGTATGCTCACAATAAATAAAAGTAATTTTTAAAGCTAACATTCTAGCTAGGCATAGTAGCACATGCCTTTAACCCCAGCACACAGGAGACAGAGACAGGCAGATCGGAGTTCAAAGCCTGTCTGGTCTACAGAGTCAGTTCCAGGACAGTCAGGGCTACAGAGAGAAGCCTTGTCTTGAAAATAAACAATTTTAAAAAATGCATTAACATTCTGTTCTGAGAATAACTGCTTAGTTTTTTTTTAAGTGAGCAAAATACTTTCATTCAAAATATGTGAACATAAAGTAAAAATGTCAGCATGGATATGACCCTGGATGGATACATACATTATTTTAAAGCAAAACGAAAAAAAAGTCTTAGTCATTCAGAAATTGTCAATGAAAACATTCTGCCTTATGTAGAGATTACATTGCTGTTTTTGCCTTTGAGTCAAATTCCTTTGCTGTAGTTTATAAAATAATCCTATGGAGTTTGCAGGCTTCTATTTTAGGTAACATTGAAAAATTAAAGTTACTTGGTCCAAGAAGATGCTTTGTTGAGTTTGGAGCGGGAAAGGGGAAATTATCTCACTGGGTTGATATTGCCTTAAAAGATGCTGAAAACGTTCACTTCCTCCTGGTAGAAAAAGTGACCACAAGATTCAAGGTAAGTAAAGCCATTGTAGGAGTTTAATAACCAAACATATTTTAAAAAAAAATAGGAACCTGTCTCTTAAAATTAATTTCTTTTTTTATATATTTGATTGTAATTTTTGTTGTTATTTGTTTGGTTCTAATTGTTCTGGTTAAACTAAAGGTAAATTTTTAAATTTAAATATTGATAGTCCATGATTTGGGTTCTTAAAATTGTTTTCAGAAACAATTTCAGAAAATCTGGGGCTGGAGAGATGGATCAGACATTAAAGGCTAGGCTCACAACCAAAAATATAAGAGACAAGAAAATATGAGCAGAATCAGGCTTTAGCTAGGAATTAAGCCATGTCCTAACCTTTCATTTACGCCTTCTGACAGACTCTTCTTTTGTTAATACTTAAGCATATTCTTGTACACCGTGATAGGCATACTGTATATGCAGGTGATACTGATGAGGCAGCTGTGCTCTTAAGTGTGTTTAGAAGAGAGAACTGGATAACACGTGAGGAAAGTGTTAGAGTAAGGGGAAGTCCTGCAGAGTATGTATGAGTTCAAAGGAAGGTGTGATAGTTGGCAGTGGAGAATGACCATGAGGCTGCCTGTGATCATCTTGAAAAATAAATTAGCATCTGCTAGATAGGGTGTGAGAAGTGTTCTGGGAAATAAGAACAGTGTTACCACAGCCTGGAATAACAAAGGAAGCATTTCTGTGTAGTGGAAATACGTTGTTTGAGGTAGAATGTGGCAGTATGAACCAGGAAAGAGAGCTGGTCTAGAAAGGTCTCCTGTTGTATGCTCTTAGCCTTGTTCTACTCTGTGTTAGGGATACAGTAGAAGACTTGGTTCTTGCTTCATAGAGGCCTCCATGCAGCATTTTAGTTCTCTATGTAAGTATGTTATTCCCACGAGCAGTGCTCAGTGCTGCAGGAGCATGAAGGTAGAGAACTAACCTCTGTCTCCATTGGTTGTCATGGAGGAAGTTTTTAAAATGGTTTTAAAACTTTCCTTGGAGCTACAGACCTTGGCTCAGTGGTTTAGAGTGCTTACTGCACTACTAGAAGATCTGAGTTTGGTTCCCAGCACCAGTATCAGGAGACTCACAACTTCTATAATTCCTGCTCTAGGAGATCCAACACCATCTTCTGGCCTCCTCAGGCATCACCACAGATGGCACATGCACGCACACATGTCAAACTGTGTTCTAGATGCTATCCTAGCAACACTGTAAAACTGTTTCAGAAGAGTTTTAGACTGAAAATAGGAATATTGAGGATATGAAACTTTTTATTCAGTAATACAAGAAAGAAATGTTCTGAGAGTAAAGGCCATTCAGTATGCTATAGAGGAAAGAAAGAATGAGAAATGTCAAAATGTTGGAAGATGTAAGACTTGCTGGGTTAGTTAGTATTCATTGTTTTTGAGGGAGCAGTAATCTGGGATGGTTTCTGGCGTCATTGGACACTGGGTATCCTTAAGGAGGAAAAACTTGAGTTCAGTTCTGTGTATGCTCAGTTTCCTGTCCACATGTTTATGGGGTCCTGGGGCTGTAGCTTAGTGTGGGAGATATTTTGCTTAACATTTATGGCCCTGGGTTCCAATGCCAGAACCATTAAAAGAAAAGAAAGAAAAATATTTTTTTTGTTGTTGTTGCTTATTTTTCTAAGACAGAGTTTTTTTTATGTAGCTTTGGCTGTCCTGGAACTAGCTCTTTAGAACAGGCTGGCCTCAAACTCAAGAGATCTACCTGTCTCTGCCTCCCAAATGTTGGGGTTAAAGGTGTGGTATGTGCCACCACAGCCTGGCTAAAAACAAAAAACTTTCAGAGGGAGCTGAGGCTTCAGCTCAGTGGTCAGTTGCTGCCATGGCGTATATAAGGTCTGCCCGAGCACTGTCAAAAAAAAAGGAAAAATAAAAGAAAAAGAAGGAAGGAAGGAAGGAAGGAAGGAAGGAAGGAAGGGTGGGGTGGTGGAGAGAGGGAGGTATAATGTATCTGATTTTTAGAAAGATCTGGACCAGTATTCACAGGCACATGGGTATAATAGTTAAAAGGTTTGTGTTTAAAGAGAATACGAGTGAGCCACAGTAGAATCAGGGGTGATAAAGACAGAAATGCAAACAAGTAACCATAGTCATTTAACATCTGTGAACCATGATTCCTTTGTGAATGGGCTGGTAATTGTTATGGCTAAGAGAAATAATATGGCAGGTGCACACCTTTAGTCTCAGCACTCAGGAGGCAGAGGCAAGCTGATCTCAGAGAGAGAATGTGTATATGTAATAGAAATAACCTGTAGACTTTCTAGCCTTATAAAATGAGTGTTATTTTTGAGTTTTCATCCAAAAATATAAACCTTTAGGTTGTTGTTCATTCTCTTTTTAACTATAAAATTTAGGTGTATTTACTCTGAATTTTGAAAACAAAACATTTTCATAAAGGTAATTTTAACATTAAGAATGCTAATTCAGTAATGTCCTGTTTATGCAGGTAGATGGTAAACACAAAAAAAAGAACTCAGTGTTTGAAAGACTTCAAATTGATATTCAACACTTGTGTTTGAGTAAGTCATGTAACTTTCCATTGCTCTAACAAAGACAGACATTTCAGACTGCGGGCTGCTTAGAATTCTGTTCTCACAGACCTGTGCTTCAGGAAGAATAAGGTAACACTAGTGCTTTGTTAACATAAGTATATGTAGTGTAGTATGATGTGCAGGGAGTTCAAAACTTCTGGTAAGTCCTTATCTTATATAGTGCTTCCTTGTCCTTTTAAAATTAATTTTGAGTAAGGCAAGTATAATGATGCACACCTTTAACCCCAGGACTCAAGATGCAGAGGCAGGCAGATCTCTGAGTTCCAGGCCAGCCAGGGATGCATAGTGAAACCTTGTCTCAAAAATATGAACTTGGATACTCATACTAACTAGCCTTCAGACTATAGTGAACATGACTGTCCAGATCATTAGAGGAGATAGTTCTCTGTGTAGCAAGTATATAAAAGATAGGTTCTCAGAATTATATCACAAAGAACATAACTTATTGCTACTTTAACGTTCCATACAGACACATGCATGCACACCCACACATGTACACAATTACACACACGAACACAAATGCATACACATACCCCTCAGTCATTCTCTTTAGTGCATTTTCTTTTTACTTTTTCTATTTTCTTTTTCTTTTCTTCTTTGTATTTTGAGACAGGGCCTTCCTATGTAGTTCTGGCTATCCTGGAACTTACTGTAGGCCAGGCTGGCCCAAACTCACAGAAATATGCCTGCCTCTGCCTCCTGAGTGGTAAGATTAAAGGTGTGTACCACCACACCTGGCTCTTTCATATTTGAAACATTTACAAATATCTTCCCTTCCATTCACTAAGAAGCAATCAAGAATTTGTATATAAATCATTGTATTTTCTTCTGCTTAACTGAACCCAGGTTTGGTATATACTCCTGTAGTTCCAGCACTTGGGAGGCTGAGGTAGGAGGATCACCCAGACTACATAATGAATTCCAGGCCAGCCAGGGTTACATAATGAGACAGGGGAAATTTGTTTGGCTGAATGTTTTTCTATGTCATGTGCTAAACACAGATACAGTCTTAGGATATGTATTGGATTCTGTGAGATTTGTTTATTTTCACATGTTTCATTCCTAAAATTCAAAGATTCTAAAAGCCCTCCTTTTAGAAGGACGCATTAATACTTTTTATTATAAGCAAACTAACATAATTCTTACTCTTTCTGTCGCAGACAGGATTCCTGTGCTACAAGAAGGAAGACTGCCTGTAGTAGGAATTGGGAAGCATCTGTGTGGGGTTGCGACAGGTAAGTCAGAAGCATGGTAACCTCTAAACTAACTCAGTGAGCTGGCCCCACCAGCTGGGGAGGGGCACTTTGCTTTCTAAAGTAAACTAGTTTCAACCTGGGGTGGAGGGAAACACACATCTTAGGCTCTTCCCATCTAACCCACGCTTCCTCAGAAACCTAACCCTCGAGTGGCTGCTGCCCACGTTCCATACGTTCCACCCTTTGTGCACTTGGACTGAAGCCCTCTCGCTCTGCCGCAGTTGCCTCCCCTTGTCTCAGTGCTTCACCTCTCCAGTGCCGTTCCTTCCTTCCTTCCTTCTGTCACTTTTTGTTCTTGGAGTGTTAATACTTAGACCCTCCTGTGACACACTGTGTCCTTCCTCTGGTTGAAACTCAAGTCTATTTTCTCAAAGGCTATATTGCTGCAGCCGTTCCTAGAATTCCACTGTCACCTCTTTGAAAGAAGTGACCTAGTTTCTGCCCATCCTTGAGCTCAGCTTTCTCCACGTTTCTGGAGCTTCATCAAGATATGATCTGCATAGCTTTTCTTTATTCTCTAATTATCTACTTATAACCACTTATATATCTAATTATACCGGTGTGCTGGGACTCTCTTAAAAAAAAAAAAAAAAAAAAAAGTACCTATGGTAAGGTAATGCTTACTGTATAAGAGAGACTTGGTGAATATTTGAAATGAATAATCTCGGCCACCAGCTTGTTGCATCCTTGTTCCTAATAAAAAGAAGGTCCCTTCTGTTTGTTTCTGAAATAACTTAATCCTTTTAATAATTTTTCTAATTATAATTCTTAAAAATTATATTTAAGTTAAATGTAAGTAAAACTGAAAATATATTTTGTTAGAAAATAAGTTGATAGACCTGGATGAAGTGGCATACTTTTACTCCCAGATACTCAGGAAGCTGAGGCTGGAGGATAACTTGAGCTAAATCATCTGGGCAACATAGTAAGACCCATTCTTTCATGTGAGAGAAAGAAAGACAGAGACACAAACATTGAAACTACCAAATTAGCTATTACTTTATCTAAATAATAGTTACCAATAATGTTTGTTGGCACAATTAAAATTTACTATAAAGACTAAATAAATTATATCCATTTTCTATCATAGGGTAACAAATTTTAGAATAACATTTGTTTTTAATTGTTTAGAGTATGATAACAATCTAATCAGATAAATACAAGCTTACATTTGTGATCTTTCCCATTTTGCCAGCTATCAGTGTAGCAATTTAGGGGAGCTTATTTTGTTTTCTAAAAATGTATTTATTTGTATTTTATGTGTATGAATATTTTGTCTGTGTGTGGAAGTGCAATGCATGCACGCCCAGTTCCCACAGAGGCCAGAAGAGGGTGCTGGATCCCCTGGAACTGGAGTTATGGACACTTTTAAGCCACCATGTGTGCTAGGAACTAAAGCCATGTGCTCTGCAAGAGCAGCAAGTGCTTTTATGCACTGAGCCATCTCTGCAGCCCCTTGTATGGCAGTTTTAGTCATTGCATCCTCCATGTGTTTAACATGTAAGGCATTTAGCAAATACTTGCTCAAAAATGCCTATGTACTAGAAAGCTATTGATCTGCTTTCATATTGGAATCTCCTTTTTTTCCAACTTTTCAGTTCATCACTATTTGCTGTGGCCAGCCTATATTTCAAGACTAGCATCTTAGCTGACACACATCTACAGCCTTACACCAGGAGATAAAAGCAGGGGATCGGGAGTTTGAGACAAACATTGGCTACACAAACCTATCTCAAAATAAAACATACACCACAAAAAAAAAAAAAAAAAAAAAAAACTACCTCTCAAACCTGGGTCAGTATTCTAAGTAAAATACCTTCCTTTGTTTCTTTCTTTGTAGTTTCTTAAGCTCGTAACTTTAGCTGGGATGGGAGAAATGAAAGACAATGTAAATAGTTGGACAGAAAATTTACAGATCATACGGCTTAAGCTTTCTTTAATTTTATTGGGAGGTAGTCTTTATGAAAAATGAATCACTAGAAAATTAAGGTAAGATGGCAAATTTGAGAAAAATGTATAATATAATGATAGAATTGTTATAATATATAGCTAAGTAGATTTTTGCTGGTTTATGTTGTTTTTTGTTTTGTTTTTAAACATACTGCTTAAGAAATCTGAAGAATACTTTTAAAGATGATGTGGCTGGGGGGGCCACATAATTGTGTTTGCAGATCTTGCATTACGATGTTTGGTTGAAACCTATGCTGCCAGTTTTGAAGAAAGGAATGAAGAACCTTTAGCCAAACGCGTAAAGAATGATAAAACAGAAAAAGAAAGTAACATTTTGTCCGAGGAAGAAAATGAAAAAATTATCCCAGAGACGTGGAACCCTGTGGCTGGCATTGTCATTGCACTCTGTTGTCACCACAGGTGTGATTGGAGACATTATGTGGGCAAAGAGTATTTCAAGGCTCTGGGCCTTGGGGCAGTGGACTTTTACTATTTCCAGAGAATGAGTAGTTGGGCGACATGTGGAATGAGAGGGACATCTTTGGAAGCCTCAGATATTACTACAAAGGGAAAAGATGATCAGAATTATGACAACGAAGAACATGATGATGGAGGAGATGGAGATAGACTCACAGATGGTGGCCCTGATGGTGTGCCTGGGTAAGTGATGACTTACTTCTATAATGCACCACACTGAAGGGGAAATATTGTATCACCATAATCTAGTCCCCCGTTGTTCCCTGTGGGTAACATTTCAGGACCTCCCACAGTTGCCTAGAGCCTTAGATGAAACAGAACCATGCGTGTTAGCATTGTAGTTACCCCCTCTGTCAATACCAGGATGGCTGTGCAATGACTAGTCAGTCAGTAACACACTGTGTGGATATTCTTGAGATGAGCATACATTAGGCAAAGGTTCATTCCCCAGGTAGGAAGGTGTTGGGTCCAAATGGCATTACCAGTAGTTCATTTGGGGAATTTTCCTTTTAATATTTTCAGACTGTGATGGACCTTGGACAAGAGAAACCAGGAAAAATGAAATTGAATAGTTGCGTCTTGGTCTTTTGGCTAAGATCAAGTATAGAAAGTGGAACTGAATAAGAAGTTTGGTTTTTTTTTTTTTTTTTTTTTTTTTTTCAGTTTAGTCAAGAAAACACAGTTTATGATCTAATTTTGGAATAGGCTAAAATGTATTTTAATTGCAATCATAAAGACAAGTCTGGGAAGCAAGAGACAGCACCTTGTGTACTGCTGGCTAGTTAGCAGCTTCTTGGGAATTTTTACAAAGTTTTAATCCCCTGTGTGTTTATTATTCACTGTAGGATTCTTACTGCTGAAGAGAAAAAGAATATAGGACAGCTTTGCAAATTGCTGATTGACCAAGGCCGTCTCCAGTATTTACAACAGAAAGGCTTCAGTACTGCCTTACAATACTATACAGACCCGTCAGTGTCTCTGGAAAACGTGTTATTAACTGCTGTACCAGCTCATCTATCATCATCACAGGAAGCAACTCATTAATGGAAAAGAAACATGAACATCAGTTGTCTTCTACAAACAAAAAAATTGTATTTTTATATTCACAAAAATATAGATAGGTTTTTTTGTTTTATTTGTTTGTTTTTACTTCCAAAATCCAAACAGAGAATTCACCATGTTCTCCAAGCATTCCTTTCAGCAGGGCTCTTAGAATTACTTTATCCATCAGAATGTATAGAGATTGGCACAGTCAGACCGTTGACTTGGTCATCTGAAACACATGTAATACACCAACGTATAATTACAGTATAAACTCTGTGTATTAATCTGCAATTTTTATCTTTGGTTTTATTTGATGTATTTTAATTTTTGAGCTCCACTTGTAATAACCAATGCCAGTTTGTAACAAGGATCAATCTGGAGTGGGGAATGTTTTCAAATTGGGTCTAAAAAGAATAATTGCAATTTTCTCAAATGCAGACAAATTTAGAAATGTAGGAATTGGCAAATGACATCACCATCAAAGTTCCAGAGCTATATCTATGTTTGTACTCTCAGAGTCTGTCCCTGACTCCAAAACTGAAGAAATGGTTTCAAGGGAAAATAGTCTTCCTTCAGGTCTTCTGATTATTTAGTTCTAAAGAAAGTTGTTTGTAAACATAAATCACAAATCAAATTTGAAAGTTGCTTATAACTTGTGAAGTTAATTCAATATCTTGTTTTTTTCCAGCCTCTTATATATAAATATAACTATTTTTTAAAAAGTATATTTTCTCCTATATGGGAAAATAATTTTTTTTGTGTGTTCTGAGTCAGGTCTCATTTGGTAATCTTTGGCCAGCCCCATACCTCTTCCTCCTAAATTCTGGGGTTAAAAGCATGTGCCCATTTCCAGCAGGAAAAGTAATTTGGATTAAAATACAAATTAAATAATGAAACCAAAACCTCCATATTTAGGCTTTACATAACTGATAAGTATTTTCTGTGCACAAGCAAATACTAAACAAGACATGTCATAAGACTGTTCCTCTTCCATATCTTACCCTGGACTTGTTTCTACATTTGTTTGTAAACATTTTAGTTGTTGGTAAATATGCAGAGAAAAAGATTCAGAATCACTAGTTTTAGATATTAGAATGACAGAGATAACTGTATTTGGCAGGTAAGAAGCCAAACACATTCTAACTCCTGGCTTTCTGTTTTAGTATACTCTCGTGTGTTGTCAGATTGCCTAGGTTTAAATTCCAACCCTACTGTCTCTAAGCTGGCAAGTAAGTTACTTTATCACTTTGTGCCTCAACTTTCTCCTCTTAAAATAGAGATGATGAGAACAGTAAGGAAACCTACCTCACAAGGCTGTGTATATCACACGAGGTAGCCCAGGGGAACCGATTTGAATGGTTACAAGCACAGAGTAAATACCAACTAGAGAGAATAGTAATTCATGGGTCTATTTTAATATAATAGACTTTTATTTTTTGTTTAATCATTGCTTATTTTCTTGTTACATTTTATATGTTAAATATTGTCAACATATATTGATTATTTTTAAGTTAATTACTCAGATTCCCCAATCAAGGGAACATAAATGAAGATAACTCGTTTAAGAATTACCCTTGCCAGGTGGTGGTGGCACATGCCTTTAATTCCAGTACTTATGAGGCAGAGGTAGGTGGCTCTTTTTGAGTTTGATGCCTGCCTGGTCTACAGAGTGAGTTCCAAGACAGCCAGGGAGGGCTACACAGAGAAACCCTGTCTCAAAAAACAAAACAAACCAAGAATTATCCTTATGTCATGAATGTTATTTGTATCACAAACTTGTGTATCATTAAAAATTTATGTCCAGGACATAGTCTAGACATGGTTAAGAGCATTGGCTGCTCTTCAGGTCCTAAGGTCAATTCCCAGCAACTACATTGTGGCTCACAACAGTCTGTAGTGGGATCCAATGCCCTTTTCTAACATAAAATCATACATGCAGCTAGATCACTCATATACATAAAGTCTTTGTTAAGAAATCTGTGTCCATAAATAAAAAGTATTCTACAGTGGGTATATTCTCAGTTGTGATTCAGAAGACTGACATCACACCCCAGAACTATACTGATACAGTCCTATGAGCCATTTAGTTGAGTTACATGTTCTGATAATGATTCTGAGTACATTATGGGGAAAAAACTTTGGGTGCTAATCTCAAATCAAGATTAGTTTTTCCAACCTTGGTTTTTCTTTTTTGTTTGTTTTACCCCTTGCCTCAATGTGAGCTAGTTAGCTGGACATTGGTGGCACACACCTTTAGTCCCAGCCCTCCGTGAGGCAGAGGCAGGTGGATCTCTGTTGAGTCTGATAAAACAAACAACAACAACAACAAAACAAAAAACAAAAAGAAAGAAAGAAAAAAAAAAGGAAAAGAAGAATGAGCTAGCCTGTGTATTTCTTCACTTTCAGACTTATTTTGGTTTTCCTGTATTACTTTGGAGCCTGTTCTAGAACTAGCTCTGTAGACCAGACTGGCCTTGAACTCACAGAGATCTGCCTGCTTCAGCCTCCCGCGTTCTGGGACTAAAGGCGTGTACCACCAACACTCAGTGGGAGATTTTGAGACTTTTTATGCTTAGCTGACTCCCTTGACCTTCACATGCACAGTTACTGCACCATACATGACTCACAGGCACATGAAACTGCTAACTTTGCAGCTCTTCAGCCCTCCCTCCTTATTCTGCCTATCAAACCATTTCCCAGTATTACTGTTCAGTTGTCCCAGATGGAAACAGATTCATCCTAAACACTGTTTTCCATGATTACCCATTCTGTCTCCCGCTTGACTCTGATACTTTAGCCTGTCTTTCCCAAGATTAGGCCACAAACTGTTTTAAACTTTGTTGCTGACCATTTCCCCAGCTTGTTCACACTACTGTTCTGTAACCCACAGTAGCACCAAAGGCCCCCTCTAAAGTGGACATTCCTGAACAACCTCTGGATAGTGGGAAGGGTCCCCTAGAGGAATGGCTGTACTGTTCTCTCTGGTTACACTCCTTCTCAAAGTAACTGGTACATGGAGTGAGTTAACATCTCCCATTTTCATCCATAGCTCTTTACCTTTGTATTAATTACAAAGCCAAGGTTTCTGTTTCTATGCTATTATGTCACTGCTTTTACTAACAAGGTGGTGTTCTTTGCCTTACTCTTCTGACTTTGTTTTAATTTTAAAAACCTTTTCTTTGATTACAGAAATGTTTACTTCTAAATTATGAGATGAAGTGGTTGTGATCTATATATTATGCCTCAAATTCTGTCAAAGTCCATATTCTCAATATTTTTCACCCCAAGCATATTGTTTTTTAATTATTATTTGTAAGTTATAGGAAAGCAGAATGATAAGGAAGGTCTGTTCATGCCCAATTTGACATGTCTACCACTTGGAAGACAAAGGAATAATTATTTAAGAATCAAATCTTGGGGGCTGGAGAGATGGCTCAGTGGTTAATAGCATTGTTTGCTTTTCCACAGGATCCAGTTAAGTTCCCAGTACCCACATGGCAGCTAACAACTCTGTAACTCCAGTTCCAGGGATCTAGTGCCCTCTTCTGGATTCTGAAGGGACTGCATGCACAGGCTGTGCAGACGTAACATACAAGCAAAACATCAACAGGCATAGAAGAAATTAAAATCTAGGCCGGGGTTGTAGCTGTAGCTCAGCGACAGGACACTTGCTGTGGATTTGAGCCCCAACACAGGAGGGTCGTGTTTACAGAAACAAAGAAGTACATTTTCCTTCACTTGGTTGTGCAGTGAGTGCCGCTGAGGAGTTCATTCCCTTGATTCAACTAGAAAAGCCATCTTACAGCTTCTCTCCTAGTACTTAGCAGAATTGTGAACAGAGTCAAAATCCATTTTCCCCTTTCAGGGTTGCCCAATTTGGTGGAAAAGACAAGACAGAATGAGAAATCCATAAAAGAATTAGTGGAAAGATAGAACTTAATTGCATACACATTCTCTTCCAGAAGTATTTCACCTGTGTTGTGTAAAATGGCATACCTGTTCTCCGTGACTCTTGTATATATGCACGCATGAACTGGAGCCCAAACAACTCCTGTTCCTCCTCTCCTTCTGAGTTGTCACTGGGAGGAAGTGTCACCTCCAGTCTCAGAGGGTTGTCTCGAAAGTTGACAAACCTAGCAGTTCATCAGAAAACAAGTGTTTTTATAGGTGCCATAGAAGTGCATGTACATTTATTTCCCTGGAAAAAGATCAGATGACAGTATACTGATTACAACAACTGATTACCTTGCTGAGATCTAACATACAACAAGAAGAGACGGTATCTTATTCCCCCCACCAAGCTTACTGATTACCTTGCTGAGATCTAACATACAACAAGAAGAGACGGTATCTTATTCCCCCCCCCAAGCTTACATAACATAATGTGATGAGAGCAAGTTGTATTATAAATATATGATTAAGGCTATAAATACAGTTTGCGCCCGTTTTTGTGGATCGATGCTTTAATCAACTTCAAAACTAAAGTTGCTGGATAAGTCAATGGATGGATGATTTTTGTCGTGGATGTTTTGAGTTTGAGAACCCATTGCCTTATTCCATCAGAAAATTACATTTTGGAGAGAATTTTACTGCTGTTCTAATAAGGAGCAAAATAAAAAGTATGCTTTCTATAGGCTAATATAATTATCCCTGCCTACTTGTAGTTATTCAGAAGGAAAATAATACTGTTTTATTCTTTTGGTTTTTGTATTACACAATGTTTATTAACAATATAAAGAGAAGTTTCATATTGTCACCAACAATTTCTTTAAACCAATAAATCCCAGTGCCATTTTATTTTCAAGAATTATTTCTTGAACAAACTAGATTGATGTTATATGAATCATACTCAGGAAATATTAAAACATTGGTATATATGTTTAAAATGTATACACACGACCTGGAGAATTAGCTCAATAGTTAAGAGCATTAACTGCTCTAACAGAGGTTCAACTCCTGGTACCCACATGGCAGCCCAATCCTCTGTAACTCCAGTTCCAAAAGAGCCATTGCTCTCTTCTGGCCTCCATAGGCACCAGACACACAAGTAGCGTGCAGGCAAAACACCCACACACAAAAGGAAATTTTAAGTGTACACATATGCATTGATCAGGATCTGTATTCCTCATTCTGCTTCCAGGACTGTAACCATACCCTTTTACCTGAGATTTGGCATTTCTT